AAAAAAAAAAAAAAAAGAACTAGGGAACTTGCCTGGGCATTTACAGTAAGTAGCCAGTTAGACAACTTAAATGTTGTCTAATTTAAGTTAAAGGTTGTAGCTCTTGGTATTGTCTTGCAACCCTGATTGCTATGTAGTCAGGTGGTTGAATTACCAGAACCAATCCTGCAACCTATTTTAACCTGCAAGTGTGTATGCATACCAGTTATGGTCCTTTTCACACAGTGGAAAGTTGACCTGCCACCAGTCATGATCTTGTGATGATTTCCTTTGTTCTCTATCCTAGATAATGAACACCATGGCTGTGAGTCATAGCATCTCTTTAGCCTTTGTATTGTGGGCATGCTAATGGATTCCCTTATCAGATGCTTATGTTTATTTTGTCTTTGCTCTGTTTAAGGTTTAATAAAAGGATCTGGTCCTGATGTGGCACTGTAGGTTAATGTGCTGGACTGCAAATTCGTTTGAACTGCAAGGTCAGCAGTTCAAGCACACCAGTCACTCCTTGGTAACCCTGTACAGGGTTGTTATGGGTTGGAAGCAACAACTACAACAACAATGAATATAGGAGGTCCTGCTGTGGCACTGTAGGGTAAGTACTGGACTGGTAACCTCAAGGTCAGCACTTCATACCCACCAGCTGCTCCTTGAAAACTCTATACAGGGCAGGTTGCTATGAGTCGGAAATGGCTCAACAGCACTTAATAACAACAACAAAACAATTATCCATAAGGATCCCTGGTGGTGCAGTAAGATAAGTACTGGACTGCTAACCTCAGGTCAGCAGTTCAAACCCACCAGTCTCTCCACGGGAGAAAGAGGAGACTTTTTGATTCCGCAAATGTTTATAGTTTCAGAAACCTTATACAGGGTGGCTATGAGTCAGAGTTGACTCTTTGACAGTGAGTGGTAGTTGTTGTTCAGTGCTGTTGAATCAGTTCTGACCCATAACGACTCTGTAAAGCATTGTCAAAGAGCGGCTGGTGAGCTTAAACTGCTGACTTTGCAGTTCAGTGCATTAACCCATACACCAGACTCCTGAGCAGTAGGAGTAGCTGTGTAGAATATACAGCCCTGCTGTGGTGCTGTAGAATAAGCATTGGTTATTCTACAACCACAATATTGGCAGCTCAAGCCCACTGGCCACTCTTGGAAACCTTATACAACTAGATGGCATAAAACAACAACATTGAATATGTTTTGGCCTTTTTTCTCCTAGCACAAGAATCAGAGAGATGAAATAAATTTCTTCAAAGCAAGACATTAACTAGTGGCAGAGATGAGGGGTTTGAACATGGCTGCCTGGATTCTAGAGTTGGGTTGTTCTGTGTGGTCCCCTAGGAGAATGACACAAGAGGTAATTTAACTTAACACAGGTGATAATGAAAAGGATGGATGCCAAAAGCAGACAGTGATTTCAGAAACTTCACTAAAAGGAGGTTGAGGTAGGCAGAAGCAAGGATAATTATCCCCATTATAAGGATGACAAACAATGCAGGTCACAGAGCCAAGTTCTCTGATCCCAAGTTTTTGCTCATTGACTCCTCACCCTTAGATTCATATCCCTTTGTAAGTGGCACTGTAGGGTAAGCACTGGACAACTAACCACAAGATCACCAGTTCAAACCCACCAGCCACTTAGAAACCCTATAGAGAATCATTATGAATCAGAATCAACTTAAAGGCACTAAACTACAGTGAGACTTATTAATAACAACAATCAGGTAAAACACATGCTACAAATACCATATATTTTGATTTTGAGTATGTGGTGTGGTGCTGTAGATAAACACTGGACTTCAATGTCAGTTGTTCAAGCTCACCAATCACTCCTGAGAAACCCTATATAGGGTCTATCTATATGAGTTGAAGCTGACTCACAATGTGAGTAAACACACTCACAATGTGTTTTAAAGATGCCCTGGTGGTGCAGTGGGTTAAGCATTTGACTGCTAACAGAAAAGTTAACAGTTTGACCCATTAGCTACTCTAGGACAGAAAGTTGAGGTAGTTCAGTAAGTAATTGTGGCCTTAGAAATCATAAGGGGCAATTTTACTCTCTCCTATAGGGTTGCTATGGGTCAGAATTCACTAGGCAGAAGTGGGTTTGGTTTGGTTTAATAAGTCCTGGTATGACACTGTCGGATAAGCACTGGACTGGTAACTTTAAGGCTGACAATTCAAAACCCACCAGTCACTCTTGGAAACCCTATACAAGATTCCTATTAGTTAGAACTGACTCAATAGCACAACAACAGTAATATGTCTCACCCATAAAAAAAATATGTAGCAACAATATCATTAATATCAAATAATATGATCATGGCAAACAATATTATTAATATCATATGCAAGTAAAATTTTGTTGAAGAGAATTCAAAAATGGTTGTAGCAGTACATGGAGAAGGAGCTACCAGAAATTCAAACTGAATTCAGAAGAGGATGTAGAACAATGTTTGTCTTTGCTGACATCAGATGGATCTTGGCTAAAAGCAAAGAATAACAGAAAGATGCTTACTTGTGTTGCATTGACTATGTAAAGGCATTAGACTCTGTGGATCATAACAAACTATGGATAACGTTGTGAAGAATGGGAAGTTCAAAGTACTTGATTATGCTGATGAGAAACCTGTTGTTGTTGTTGTTAAGTGCCGTCAAATTGGTTCCGACCCATAGCGACCCTGTACAGGATTTCCAAGGCTGTAAATCTTTATGGAAGCAAAAAACCTCATCTTTCTCCTGCGGAACCGCTGGTAGTTTCAAGCTGTTGACCTTGAGGTTGGCAGCCCCACTTGTAACCACTACGCTACCAGAGCTCCTGATATGCAGAGGAATCTGCATATAGATTAACAGTCAGGTGACAAAACTGAACAAGGGCATTACTGACTGGTTTAAAATCAGGAAAGGTGTGTGCCAGGGTTGTATCCTCTCACCATATTTATTTAATATGTATGCTGAACAAATACTCCAAGAAGCCAAATTATCTGAAGAAGAATGAGACATCAGGATTGGTGGAAGATTATCATGACAATCTGCAATACACAGATGACAGAACCTTGCTTATTGGAAGCAAAGAAGACTTGAAGTATTTACAGTATAAATTGTACCAATGCACTTACACTGGATCATTAAATAACATCATGATAAATGAAGAAAAGATTTAAATTGTCAAAGACTTCATTTTGCTTGGATCCCTAATCAAGGCTCATGGAAGCAGCAGTGAAGAAATCAAAGGTCATATTGCATTAGGCAAATCTGCTGCAAAAGACCTCTTTAAAATGTTAAGAGCAAAGATGTCAGCCTGATCCAACCAATGGTATTTTAAATCACCTCACATGCATGTGAAAGTTGGACAATGAATAAGGAAGGCTGTAGAAACATAGGTCCATTTCATTTATGATACTGGCAAAGACTACTCAAAGTACCATGGACTACCAGAAGAACAAACAAATTTGTCTTGGAAGAAGTACAGCTTGTGTGCTCCTTATAAGAGAGGATGACGAGACTTGCCTGTCATACTTTGGACATGTATTCAGGAGGAACCAGTCCCTGGAAAAGGATAACATTCTTGGTAAAGTGGAAGGTCACTGAAGAAGAGGAAGACCCTCGACAAGATGGACGCACACAGTACAGCTCAAACTTAACAGCGATAGGGAGGATGGTGCAGGATGGGGTGGTATTTCATTTTTGTTGTGCATTGGGTCACTGTGAGTTGGAACCAACTCGATGGCACCTAACAGCAGCAAAAACAATGAATTATTAATGAAGTACATTCTAATGTTGTACTTGTCTGAGAAAGAAGCAGATATATCTATAAAATCAATGCAGTGGGATGAACTACATGTCTTTTTAGCATCAAGGTATAAATTGCCGTGGATGTGCAGGAGAAAACTGCTACTCTGCCACACCTGAAAATCAATAAAATCTTGGGAGCTTTGAAACTTAGTCAGAACCAACTAGATAGCATTTCACAACACCAAAGTCATTTTGTTCCCTCTAAACTTTCTTGTTAGAGTCCTGGTGTGATGCTGTAGGATAAGTGCAGGGTTGTAAGGCCAGTTTGAACTCACCAGTTGCTCCTCAGAAACCCTATACTGGGTTGCTATGAGTCAGAACTGACTCAATGGCACTTAACAACAACAAAATTTTCTTGTTAAGAAGCTTCATTTATATAAATCGCCAAACCCTGAAGTCACTACATTTTGGTCCTCCAGTGCCTTGGAGGGGTCTCCATTCTAAAACACATCCCTAAAAATTCTATAATATTTATCATTCTAAGATTTCGGACAATAAAATGTGTCATTGGAATTATTTCCTGTATTATTATAAATGAACAAGAACTCTATAGTTAATAGCTTACATCTAAAACTTTATTGCGTAGTTGAAATCTTAATGTTGATTTCTAGCCTACTCAAAAAACTTTCTGTTTTTTGAAGTTAATAATGATAAGTCAATAATCCATAAATACCATCCTACTATATGCTTTAGCAAGAATTCAGTAAATATTTAGACAAAGCAGGGATTCCTTGTTTCACTATGTTTTTATTTGACTTCAACTTTTCCTATCATTTGACTCTCCTGGTGTGGTGTCATTGAATAAGCACTTGACCTCATGGTCAGTTTGAACCACAGAGTGTGTGGTTTAAACTCACCAGCTGCTTCTTGGAAACCCTGTACACGGTTGCTATGAGTCAGAACCATACTGAACAAGGAATCCCTGCTTTGTCTAAATGTTTACTAAAATTATATTGGAACCAACTCAACAGCACTTAACAACAACAAATGGTGTCCTGGTGTAGCACTATAAGATAAACACTATACTTTTAATGGCAATATTGGCAGTTCAAACCCACCAGCCACTCCTTGGAAACTCTATACAAGGTCTCTATGAGTCTGAACCAATTCAATCATACTAAACAATAACAGTATGTTGCACAAATGTTTTCTTTATTCCTCTCAATAGCTCTATAAGGCAGATATTGCTATTCACGTTTTAGAGAGGGAAGAGTAAGGCACAGAGGAGTCAAGTGTGTATGTGTGTGTATGTGTGTCTATGTCTCGAGGGGACTCATCAGATTACAATCAAGAGAAGTAAATTGGATGCTTGATATTGTTGTTGTTAAGTGCCGTCGTGTCGGTTCCGACCCATAGCGACCCTGTAAAGGGTTTCCGAGGGTGTAAATCTTTACGGGAGTAGAAAGCCTCATCTTTCTCCCGCGGAGCGGCTGGTAGTTTCCAACTGCTGACCTTAAGGTTTGCAGCCTGATTCGTAACCACTATTCTACCAGAACTCCTTTTTTTCTGGTTATAAAAGGGGTCAAAGAAACAGAAAGCGCAAGCTGGTGGGTAGAGAGATAGTCAAGGCAGATATTGCTATTCACACTTTAGAGAGGGAAGAGTAAGGCACAGAGGAGTCAAATGTGTGTGTGTGTGTGTGTGTGTGTGTGTGTGTGTGTGTCTATGTCTCCAGGGGACTCATCAGACTACAATCAAGAGAAATAAATTGGATACTTGATATAGGAATGTTTAAAATGAACACAGAAAGATCAAAGCACCAATGTGGATTTTTTAAAAAAGCCTGAGTTTATTTTTAAATGATGCTTTTTCAGATAGTTAAACTACTTTTGAAAGGAAAACAAGCTGAGGGAAAGTGAAAATAGTAACGGAATGGAACTGGAATGGATCCAACAAATAGAGTAAAATTCTTCCCTTTTTGGGTCACAAAAACTTTGTAGAATGGATCTTGGCAGAAATTCACTAAGTACAGTTCTGTGACAGATGGGAGTAGCAGCCTTGGCAGTGAAGGTAAGGACTGAATGAATTATGAGGGCAGGGGTCTCATTTCCAAACAAGCTGCTGCTGTGTCTGATGTAAGAGAAGGGATTTAGGATTTAGAGTCCACTCTGAGATTCTTCAAGCCTACAGCTGTCAGTCAGACTCTCTATAAAAATGCATAGAATAAAACGTTTTTGCATGGCACTTTGTTTCTGAGTTGAATACGTAGAAATAATAAGAGGAGGTTTCTGATGAATAATTTTTTTGTTATAGACCAATCATGCAAGTACTGTTGTAAAAGAACCAGTTACCAGTTGTTGAATCAATTGCTACTCACAGCGAACCCCTGTATGTCACAGTAAAATGGGGCTCCAAAGGGTTTTCATTGCTGATTTTTCAGATATAGCATGCCAGCCAAGATTGCCCTAGGTGGACTTAAACTTTCAACAGCTTTTCAACTTTCAACAACTTGAACTTTCAAGAACCTTTCTTTTAACAACTAAGCATGTTAACTGTATCATATAGTTGTTGTTGTTAAGTGCTGTTGAGTCGATTCCAACCCATAGCGACTTTATATAGGGTTTCCAAGGAGCAGCTGGTGAGCTTGAACCACCGACCTTGCAGTTCAAACAACTTTTGTTTCAAACAGTCTATTGTTGTAAAGTACTGTCAAATTGTTTCCAACTCATAGTGGCCCTGTATAAGGTTTCTGAAGAGCAGCTGGTGAGTTTGAACTGCTGACTTTGCAGTTCTTATCCTACAGCACCACACCAGGACTCTAACTGCACCATCTAGAAAACAGTTATAACAAAGTCTATTTCAAGTATTAAATAAAGGTATTATCATAATTCATACACAGAGTCCCTTGGAAGTACACTCTATCTATATTTTTATGAACACATAGGAGATTTCTGCTTCTTATCCCCCTTGTTTAAATGATATGTTTTCTTGCCAGAAATGGGATAAGGAGATTTTAAAGGCAAAATCGAAAATTATTTACAATATTTATAAACTTTTCAGTGCCTGAGAAACTTGGTATAATGAAATAAGTAAGTTCTTATCAACGGAGAAAAGATTGAAGTTGTCAAGGACTTCATTCTTCTTGGATCAACTATCGACACTCATGGAAGCAGCAATCAAGAAATCAAATGACGTTTTGCATTAGGCAAATCTTCTGCACAAGACCTTTTTAAAGTGTTGAAGAGCAAAGATGTCAGCTTGAGGGCTAAGATGTGCCTGACCCAAGACATGGTATTTTCAATAACCTCATACGCATGTGAAAGCTGGACAGTGAATCAGGAAGACCGTAGAAGAACTGATGCTTTTGAGTTATGGTGTTGGAGGAAAATATTGAAGGAACCAATAGATCTGTTTTGGAAACAGTGCAGCCAGATGGCCAAGATGGCCAAACTTTGTCTCTCATACTTCAGACATATTGTCATGAGGGACCAGTTGCTGGAGAAGGATATCATGTTTGGTAAGGTGGAGGGTCAGAGAAAAAGAGGAAGACCCCCAATGAGATGGATTGGCCAAGTGGCAGCATCGATGGACTCAAGCGTGGCAACAGTAGTGAGGTTGGCCCAGGATCAGGCAGTGTTTCATTCTGCTGTGCATAGGGTATCCACTTGATGGCACCTAATAATAACAAAAACAATCTAGCTCGGTGTGATGTTGCAGGTTAATGCGCTGAATTGAAAAGCTAGCTTGAACTGCAAGGTCAGCTGTTCAAGCTCATCAGCCACTCCTCAGAAATTCTATACGGGGTCACTATGACTTGGAACCAACTCAATGGCACTTAACAACAACAATCTAGTTTGGTGTGGTGCTGTAGGATAAGCGTTGGACCACAAGGTCAGTTTGAAGCCATGGCAGTTTCAAACTCACCAGTCACTCATTGGAAACCATACAGGGTCTCTATGAATTGGAACCAACTTAACAGCAGTTAACAACAATAACAATGTAGTTTAATCCTCTATGATTAAAGTCATAAGAAAAACATTCTGAGATGCATTTAGATTAAGCTCACCAGTTGCTCCTTGGAAACCCTATATAGGGTTGCTATGGGTTGGAACTGACTCGACGGCACTTAAAAACAACAATGACAACTAAGGAAGAGTTTATAGCCCCAACTGCTGGGATTCCTGTAAGGGAACCCTCAGTTGCAGAGAGCTGCCTCTCTCAAGATCGTGCCTTTCCCTGGCTGGCCCACATCCATTTACTGTTCAAGGAAGGGGTTGAAAAGCCGGGCCCTTTTGGCCCAGCATGGGACAAATCTGATGGGCCATTTTAGTTCAGTTCCGCAGGGGGTATTGTAAAGTTTTTATTGGGCTCAACTTGTAGCTCAGGTTTTTCTTCTGCTCAACCTTGCCTCCTTCCCTTCCTCAGGTGTGGCTTCCAAGAGTGCTCCCTGCACCCCAAACTCTACCTCAGGGTTGGCTTCCTGCAGAACCCACACTAGAACATGCACCCAGAGGTGGCCTGGTAGCGTCTCAATGATCCAGAATGACCACATGTATCAGCAGTATAAGTGTATTTTTAGATAGCATTAGAAAGAAAGTTCTTCCATAAAGTGTTGAAATCTGCCTCTCTGCACATTTGGCTAACTGGTCTCTTCTCCTCGACTAGCCAGTACAAGGTAAGTCTCTTCACATTCTACTTCTTTTATCCCCATTCACTTGCCCTGTAGTTTAAATTGGAAAATGAAGTTTTAGCTGATTCATCATCATCATCTTCTTTGTAACTGTACTGCTGAAATGAGACAAAATTGAAAGGAAATGTAAATTACTCATAGGTGAACAGTTCAGGAAAGATGGAGTAGTTCATCTTGCTCTTTAGGAGACTACCTAAATTTGGCTGGATGGGAAGGGGGTGTTGTAGGAGAAAGCCAGAGTGAGAAGAAAAGCAATGTTCTGCAGCAGAAGTACAGATCTGAAGTCATCTTAGGTAATTCTTTTATCATCTCTGTTGTTGTTAAGTGCTGTGGAGTCATTTCTGACTCAAAGTAACCCTGTATAGAGTTTCTGAAGAGTAGCGGGTGAGTTTGAACCACTGACCGTGCTGTTAGCAATTCAGTGCTTGTCCTACAGTGTCACACCAAGCTTTATTTAATGTCTCTGAGTGCTAACAAATATGTTATTGCTCCTTCTCAATCTTGGTGAAAGGATACATGGTCTACCAAGTGAAGGAATCTGGGACTTGTCTTGTACTTCCTACTTTCCTTCATTCTTTGCATCCACTTACTCTCTACATTTGCATATTTCCTTCTCCCACCACAATAATACATATGGTTTCAGCTCTCTGCTCTTCATGGCTACTGCTACCGCCTTGTTTTGGGCTCTCAATATCTATCACTCTGACTATAGTAATTGCTCTTTTAGGTGTATTTCCTTTCATTTCGTATTGTAGCCAAAGTGAGCTTTCTATAACACCAAACTAATTATCTTAGTTACAGCTGAAACGACTTTGTTGTTATTGTTGTTGTTAAGTGCTGTTGAGTCGGTTCCAACCCATAGCGACCCTGTATAAGGTTTCTAAGGAGTGGCTGGTGAGTTTGAAAAGCCGACCTGTAGTTCAACCCGAACTTGCAGTCTAGCGCATTATCCCACAGTGCCACACCAGGACTCCTAAAACTACTATAATGAAGCATTATTTATTAGAGAAAAACCTAGAAATAACTAATGTAGAAGAATTGATGCTTTTGAGTTATGGTGTTGGAGGAAAATAATGAAATACTGAAAGTGCTATGGGCTGCCAAAAGAACAAACAGATCTGCGTTGGAAGAAGTGCAGCCAGAGTGCTCCTTGGAGGCCAGGATGGCCAAACTTGGACATTTTGTCAGGAGGGACCAGTTGCTGGAGAAGGATATTATGTTTAGTAAGGTGGAGGGTCAGAGAAAAAGAGGAAGACCCCCAACAAGATGGATTGGCCAAGTGGCAGTGTCGATGGGCTCAAGCATGGCAACAATTGTGAGGTTGGCCCAGGCCCGGGCAGTGTTTTGTTCTGTTGTGCATAGGGTTGCTATGAGTAGGTACCAACTCGATGGCACCTAACAATAACAAATTAACCAAGTGGATCATTAAATTGTAATATATTAATATAATAGAGTATTACACACACACATACATACACAATTAACAAAGCACTTAATATAACCATCAACGTGAATGAACTTCATTCATAAATACAATGCTGACCCAAATTATAGGAGATTGATTTTACTATTATACTTATGTAAAA